GAATAACGTTAAGTGAAAACAGTCAGAAAGAGAAAGACAAATACCATATGATTTCACTCATATGTGGAATATATATATAAAAATGAACAAAACAAACACTCATAGATACCGTAAATAGACATAAAAAACAGATCAGTGGTTACCAGGTAGGAAGGGGTTGGGGAAGGGCTAAAGGGAAGATGGGTCAATTGTATGGTGATGGATAGTAACTAGACTTTTGGGGGTGACCACTTTATAGTGTACACATATGTTAAATTATAATGTACACCTGAAACTTATATAACAATTTTATACATACATATATGTATATGTTTGCTCTCCCTAATCATTATAGGATTCCCTAATTCATTATATAGATAGCGGATTATAGAGCTAATTTAGGAGTCATGTTACAATATTTCTATAACATCTGCTAATTTTACAATTTCAAAAAAAAGGTGGGGGGTACTTTGGGCTGGGAATACGGCCAGTATAACAAAGATCAATAGAAGCATCAGCCAGGGAGAGGAAAGAGAGGCTGGCTCAGTGTTGATGAGAAGGAAGCCATGAGGAAGGTCAAACTAAACTAAAAGCAGATGACTCTCATTCAAATTTTGCCACTAAGTCATTTAACCTTCCTAGGATACGTGTTCTTATCTAAAACATCAGTGGTTGAACTGAATGGTCAGTCTCTCAGGTACATCCCAGCACTAAAATTCTATTATGTGGATATTGGAAACCTCAGTTCCTAAATCCTGACATCTGGAGGATTTCCTGTGTAGAATTTCCTATTATAGTACAAAGAATATAAAATTTCAGAGAAGAAAAATGACAGGTTGGATTGCTCAACCTTTATAAGGTTGCTAATCTTCTTTAACATATGTCTATTTGAGACAGAAAGAAAGTAGGATAGGGAATTATTAACACAGTAAAGCTAAGTTCTCCTAACACCCTAAATGCTCACCCAAACTTTTAATACTATCTAAGGGAAGCTGCTACCCACTAGAAACAATTAGTCAAACTTTATCAACTATTTTCCTTTTGGGTTATGGTCTGATAACTAAACTTAGCAAAACTCAACTTCAAAAACTGTATTTTGAAGTTGAATAAAGAGTTTTATATATTATAAAATTTTATACAGAAACAATTGAGAGTAATTATATTTGTAAAAATAATATTTATCAATTTAGAAATATTGTATATATCAACATAGAAATTTTATTAAAAAGTGAAATAAATTTGCCCTGGCCGGTTTGGCTCAGCAGTTAGAGTGTTGGCCGGTGGTCCAGAGAGACCCGGGTTCAGTTCCTGCTAAGGGCACGTACCTCGGTAGCAGTGTGTCCCCGGCCCTGGTTGGGTCGTGCGGGTGGCAGCCACTCAGTGTGTCTTTCTCACGTCGATGTCTCTCTCTCCCTCACACTCTATCTGAACAAAAAATGAAAAAATGTCCTCAGGTTAGGATTAAAAAAAAAAAAGTAAAATAAATTTAATCCAACCAAAAATGAAATTACTGTATGATATTTAAGAACACTGGGAGAATTTAGCAAAATAGCATTAGTATTAAATGTTCAAATTTCCCCAATTTTATGTACAATTAAAATTAAAATTACTAAACTATGTAGTAATAAATGTCAAATACATCAGTGGAACAAAAAGACTGTCTAGACCGGAACACAAAACATTTAAAACCTGAAGGACATGGTGAAGATACTAATCAATGTACCTGCTTTAACATTTTGTTCCTAAACAACAACAATAAAATAAATTAGCTCCAAATCTACTTGAGAAACTAGAAAAAGAACTACATTATAAATCTAAGAGTAGTGAAAGCAGCCCAGCCGGTGTGGCTCAGTGGTTGACGTCAAACCATGCACCAAGAGGTCATGGGTTTGATTCCTGGTCAGGGCACATGCCCAGGTTGTGGGCCAAATCCCCAGTGGGGAGCATGCAGGAGATGGCCAATCGATGTTCTCTCTCATCAATGTTTCTTTCTCTCTCTCCCTCTCCTTTTCTCTCTCTCTAAAATCAATAAAGTAAAAGTAGTGAAAGCAGTGACTAATTATAAAAGATGTGAATGAATTAATGAGCACCACCACCAATAAAAATCAAAAGCTGCAAATATAATTTTTAAATGCATGATTTCTGGGGCTAGTGAAAGTATATAGAGAAAACTTTCTCTTACATTATAATCCCCAAACTGGAAACTAAATACCTATAATATTCAACAACAAGGAAAATCTTAAGTTATAATGATTCTATATTATAAAATTATATTCAATATTTAAATAAATGAGAAAATTCTATATGAACTACCATATATTATGTTTCCTAACCTCATGCATATACATACCAACTCAAAGGTTGTTGCCATGTTCATGTACCATTCTATGGTTTTCTTCATTGATCTTTAAATCAATGTACTTGAAAAAATTTGGAATTTTTATAATAGCAATATCTTTGAAATCACAGATTTGATATGTTGGATAATGGCTAAATTTTTTCAAAGGTCCTTCTTAACCTACTTATATATAAGGAAACCCAACCCTGTTAAGTACCCTGAATGAGCCTGTTTGCCTGCGCAAAATTCAGTTTAGACTCTCTCAGCCTCTGCCCAGAATGTCTGCCTGAGGTTGGCTTGAGAGAAACAGTGGCCCTTGTAGCTGAGCCAACAAACGGCATTGGCAAGAGGCAGCTTGTTATGGGTGGCAGCGGCTCAGAGAACACCAGAAAAGCCGCCCACTTTCCTCTTTATAAAGCAGATTAGAAACACAGCCAGAGAAAGAGATAAAATTAAGTCAAGAGCACATATTTGTCTTCAATTTGTAGGTGATCCTTTTTCACAGTCCACGAAGCATCACTCCTTTCTGTGCCACACAGAACAAGTAGAGGGGAGATGTCATACATTTTTGTCTTTTTTCAGGGAGCTGCATGTGCTCCGTGCTTGAAGGGAGCTTTCCTTTTCTTTTTTATTTTATTCCTCGCCCAGGGATATTTTTCCACTTATCAGATAGAGTGGGAGGAAGGGAGACAGAGAGATAGAGAGAAATATTGACGTGATAGAGCCACATCGACTGGTTGCCTCCCGCAGGACCCAACCGGGGCCAGGACGAACCACAACCCAGGTACATGCCCTTGACAGAAATCGAACCCACAACTCATTGGTCCGCTGGCCAATGCTCTAACCGCTGAGTCAAACCGGCCAGGGCTGAAGGGAGCTTTTCTTAACTCCTCCGACAAAGTGGAAAGATCTCCCTTCCAACCTTAAAACAAAGACTTTCCTGGTTTTATTGAGAGTAATAACACCCTCTAAAAATAGTCTAGGTAGGACCCCAAACACTAGAGGAGATCTAAGTTCCTCATTTTCTTCCAACATTTCAAATACCTTGGACAAGCTTCTGTTTAGGGATTGTGATATGTTGTTGTTTGGGGTTAAAATGATAATCATTCACTAATTCAGTCCATCAATCAATAGCAATTTCCTGAGCACCAATGCTATGGGATAAGAGCATGCTTCATGATTTGCTTGAAGCCCCCAGTCTGGAGATGAGGGAGAGAGAGGAATAAGTGGAAGAGAGGTCGGTGAGGGAACCAGGTCAAGGGTGCCTAGGATCTACTTGTTAATATACAGTCCTCTATCCCTTCCAGGAAACCATGGTCTCCCGGGGGTGGCCGGTGCCAACAGTTCCACCCTGTATCTCATACAACATATTTGTTCTATGAATGTACAATTATTTCATAATACCCCTGAGGAAATGGAAGGAGGGTGTGGGATACTGCCTAAAAAGACAGAGTCTACACATACAATAAAGCCTCTATCTTAGGGATGTTGCTTGTCCAGAATGCAACACAAGTATCCTCCTATCTGAACTTTTGATTTAAAGATGTTTTCTGCTATTCTAGTTTCAGTTCTCTTTGGGGTTTCTGATGAGTCCTGGATACTTTTGTTTTAGGACTAGACATTCTTAATTCATTATCACAACTCCTAAACTGGGTCGTCTTCCTCCTTTAAAAAAAAAAAAAAAAAATCTTATTATATTACTTGCCTTATAAAACAACATGGTCTTCTTGTAAAGTAATTAAATCCATGGGCTCTGGGGTTGGAATGCTGGGTACAGCCCTGACTCTGCCATTTATGAGCTATATGATCTTAGCAAGTTACTGAAACTCTGTGTGCCTCAGTTCCCCATACTTAATGAAGATAATGATCAGGCTTAACCTTAGAGCGTGGTGCTGAGGATTAAGTGAGAGAATCTCTGCCCTGGTTAGCACCAAATAAATATTAACTACTAACAGTATTCACTCTGCTGTAATGGAAACCAGCACACTAGCAGACTCTTTTGTTTTTCATTGTGCTTGACATTCTGCCAGACTTTTTTGATATGCTTGTAGGAAAGCAAATTCTATTCATTCTTTACGGCAGGGGTTTTATTAATTTCACTCTAATAACTTTATCAAATCTCGCTTAATTTATCAAAGTATTTAAAGTTTTTAATTTATATTTTAAAGACACCTTACTTAATTTGATGTTGTTTACATTTAATAATCTTATATTCTCTTCCATTGTTTATACTCTTGGTAAATAATCTAAATAATAATTAAATTGCTTTGTAAAACTGAAAAACAATGTTAGTGTTATTGCTTCTATTCATTTTAATCTGAAATTTTATTTTTACAATGCACTCTATAGTAAATACAAAGTATATGTCCACATTTAGGAATTTAAGCAAAATTAGAAAATATAGAAAAAGCTTGCCAAATTAAAAAGGTAGAATGTAGTTTATGAAAAGAATTCAAGCAGAGGAGAAGGGTGCTCTCTCGTGCATGTTCTAGTGTCACTTCTACTTTTCTAATCTCTTTTACAGTAACATACAATATAATGGTTATATAAGCTCAAATATTTTTCACCTGTGTAATGAACCACACCTATAATTAGGACAATATAAATACATGGAGAGAGAGAAAATGATAGCAAAGCCTCTTGAAGAAACCAACAGTGAGGCCAGAAAAACTGGAGAGGAACAATGGTGTTCTTCAGAAGCTTTGTCTTTCTCTTCGTCCTACACCTGCTGCAGGGGTCCAACACCTCCCTTGTTCGGCTAGAGAACAATGGCTATGAAGGCATTATCATTGCCATAGACCCTGGTGTGCCAGAAAATGAAGCACTAATTGAACAAATAAAGGTAAGAAAGAAATGGGTATTTTCTTCTGTTCGAATTATAGAAAAGGAAAAAAATGGTAGTTAATAATTATTACAGAAACTTCTGAATGCTCCAGAGAGTTTGAAAGCAGCATGGTGCAGTGAGGGCAGTGCTGGAGTGGACAGCGGGAACTGGAGGCTGTAGATAGGTTTTCTCCTATTTCAACATAAGATCAAAAGACAAGGCACAGGGCTTACCCGATCCTCAGTTTCGTCGTCTGTAAATGAGCAGTTGGACTTGTCTGTTCTGTTTTGTTTGTGTTTTTTTAATTTATTGATGTTAGACAGAATGAAGGGGCAGAGAGAGAAACGTCAATATGTTCCACTTATTTATTAATTCATTTGTTGATTCTTGTATGTGCCCTGACCGGAGATTGAACCTGTAGCCTTGGTATAGCTGGATGATGCTGTAACCACTAAGCTGTCTGGTCTTTAAACAATTATTGTGTGCTTATAGCAGAACAACAGTGAATGAAAAAAGCCCCCTCCATCATGCTGTGTACATTCTCTTCAGATACAGATAATTAAAACCTGTAAATGTATAGCAGGACAGTTGGTGGTAAGTTGCTATGGAGTAAAATAAATCAGCAAAGAAGGTAGGCAGTGTTGGCGGGGCTGGGGCAGGGGGAAAATGTGGTTTACTCTTTCATGTAGGGTAGTCAGGGACAGCCTCACTGTTGATGTGACCTCTGAGCAGAGACCTGAGATGAGGGAAAGAGCCCATTGGACATCTGGGGTAGGGAATAGAGGGTGCAGCAGCATGGGGGTCGTAGCATGCTTGTTGGGACCAAGGAAACAACTGTAAATAAGCAGGAGGAAAGGTGGGAGAGCTGAAGATGGAGGGGCAGCAAGGCCCAGAACAGTGGAAAGTTGGGCTTTTACTCTGCGTGGGATAGGAATTCATGGAAGAATTCCGAGCAGAGGAGAAGTGTGCTCTCTCGTGCATGTTCTAGTATCACATTGACTCTAGGACACAGTAGTGGAGGAATTCAATATGTCAGTGAAGAGAAAGACTCCAGAACTGAATTAAGAACTTTATTTCTAAAGTTTCTTTCAACTATAACGTTTCTTCTAATAAAGAGATTGGTGTTACAGCCCCGTAAACTTGTTTCCCCTATCCCTGACATCAGCATCTACTAATTCCTCCTACTGAATTCCTCCACTACTGTGTCCTTACGCTCCCTGTTTTAGCCAACTCTGTGGGTGCTGTTATCCAGCAGAAGCTGATAGGCATGATCTGAATTGTGAGCAGGTGATTCTTTAGCTGCCATGTATCACTCATTCTGTATAAACTCCTGCAGCAGATTGATGTTCACTTTCTGATACCTTTGAATTTCAGGGGAAGATAAATATCCCTTTACAAAAGAACACAGGATTGAATAGCAGTTAATATAGCTAATTCTGAACAATGGCTGCTTAGTGTCCAGGAACAGTTGATCAGTTTCAAATACTTCTAAACCTCAGAAATCAATATTTGGAAGAATTATTTCTAGGGGTAAAAAGGTTGCTAAAAGGTCCTCTACTGAAAGTGTTAACTAAAAATCTGATTGTTAGTAGACATTCCTAGATTGCACAATGTTTCCTGACATCCTCTCAGCCCTCTACAAAGTCCTTGCATTTATAATACAGACAACCATGTAAAACATAGTCATCCAAGTTATATAGAAGAGAAAACTGGGATTTGGAAAAATTTAATGATTTTTCAAAGATTTCCTAAGTAGCATAATCAGAGTGGAGATCCAGTATACTTGAAGACTGACTTACAGACTGGAGTTTGAGTTCTGGCTTGTGTAAGATGACAAAAATCACTCTTTTTTTTTTTTTTTTTTTGTAACTTGTGAACCAATATGTGGACATAACTTTAATCCTGGGATAATATCTGACCATAATAAAATTTATGATGAATTGATTAATACTTTATGACCTGAGATGTCAATTGTCAACTTTCCTTGTCCTTCACTTATGTGTCTTTTTAGTTTGAGAGTACTTATTTTTTTAAACATTGATCATCTTAATCTTCTTTGATCCAACTAGAATATTATAGGAATTCTGAGAAACAATTTAGAGTGAATATTATAGGAATTCTGTTTAAAAGCCTGTGGGAACAATTATTAGCCACCCTAGTGTGCTCTGGGAGATCACAGTCATCTGATATAGAGTCTATGAAAAATACCTCCATTACCTGAAAATATACCACTACCCAAGTCTGTCCAAGGGCCATGGAGACTCCAAAGTTAATAAAATCGCTTGGAGTTATACAATGCACAGCCCACACAACTGTATGCAGCAACCCTACATTTCCAGATTGGTACCATAGTTCAAACCACCATATATACCTTTTTTAATTGACATATAATTGACATTTTAGTTTCATGTATACCATGTAATGATTTGATATTTGTGTATATTACAAAAACAATCACCAAAATAAGTCTGGTTAACATCCATCACCATAACATAATTACAAAATCATTTTGCTAAGAACTTTTGGTTTGCTATTTTAGCAACTTTCTAATATACAATACAGTATTATTAACTACAGTCACCATGCTGTACATGATATCACAATGACTTATTTATCGCATAACTAGAAGTTTGTAACTTTTGACACCCATTTAGCCAATTCTCCCAATCCTAAAGCCTCTGCCATCCAACAACTTATTCTCTGGATCTATGAGCCCTGTTTTTGTTGTTGTTTTTCTTTTTCTTTCCTTTTTTGAATCAACATATAAGTGAGATTAAACATTATTTTTCCTTCTCTGTCTGACTTATTTTACATGGCATAATACCCTTGAGGTCTATCCATATTGTTGGAAATAGCAGGATTTCCTTCTTTTTTGTGGCTCAGTAATATTCCATTGTTTATATATACCACAGCTTTATCCATTCATCTATCTATGGACACTTAGGTTGTTTCTATGTGTTGGCCACTGTAAATAATGCTGCAGTGAACATGGGGATACATAATCTTTTCAAATTAGTGTTTTCATTTCCTTCTAGTAAATACCCAGTAGTGGAATTGCTGTATCAAATGCCAGTTCCATTTTTAAGTTTTTTCAGGAACCTCCATACTGTTTTCCATAGTAGCTGTACCAACTTACATTCCCACCAACAGTGCACAAGGGTTCCCTTTTCTCCACATTCTTGCCAACATTTATTATGTCTTACCTTTTTTTGTGCTAACAGATGTGAAGTGATACCTCTTTGTGGTCTTGCTTTATACTTCCCTGATGACTAATGATATTGAGCAACTTTTTATGTACCTGTTGGCCATTTGTATGTATTCTTTGGAATATTGTCTTTTCAGATCCTCTGCCCATTTTTTAATCAGATTGTTTGATTGTTTTTGTTTTATATGGGGCTTTTTGCTATTGCTTTTGCTTTTGCTTTTGGTATCAAATCCAAAAAAATTATTGCCAAGACCAATTTCAGGGAGTTTATGTTTTCTTCTAGGACTTTATGGTTTCAGGTATTTAATGCATTTTGAGTTAGGTTTTGTATATCGTGTAAGATAGTGGTCCAGTATCATTCTTTTGCATGAGCCTGTCCAATTTTCCCAACACCACTTTTTTAATTTTAAAAAAAATCGTTTTTAATCCTCACCCAAGGACATGCTGGGGGGGGGGGAGAGAAACATTGATATGAAAGAAAAACATCAATTGGTTGCTTTTTGATTAGGGATTGAACCCATAAACCAGGTATGTGCCCTGACCGGGAGTCAAACTGGCAACTTTTTGTTGTATAGGACAATGTTCAACCAACTGAACCACTCTGGCTGGATCCCTATACCATTTTTGAAAAGACAGTCCTTACCCAAATGCACATTCTTGGCTTCTTGGTCATTAATTAATTGATGATATATGTGTAGGTTTATTTCTGGACTTCTGATTCTGTTCCTTTGAACTATGTGTCTGCTTTTATGCTAATACTACTCTTTTGATTACTACTGCTGTGTAGTATAGTTTGAAATCAGGGAGCATGATTTCTCCAGCTTTGTTCCTCCTTCTCAAAATTGCTTTGGCTATTCAGGATCTTTTGTGGTTTTATATATATTTTAGGATTGGTTGTTCTATTTCTGTGCAAAATACAATTTGCATTTTGATAGGGATAACATTGTATCTGTAGATTGTCTTGGCTAGTATGAACATGTTAACACTGCTGATTTTTCTAATTCATGAGCATGAAATATCTTTCCATTTATTTCTATCTTCTTCAATTTCTTTCATCAATGACTGTAAGTGTTTTAAGTGTACAGAAATTTTACCTACTTGGTTAAAATTATTCCAAGGCATTTTACTCTTTTTGATGCAATTGTAAATGGGATTATTATCTTAATTTCTCTTTCTGATCATTTGTTATTAGTGTATGGAAATGCAACATATATTGTATATTAATTTTGTATCCTGCAATTTTACTGAATTCATTTATGAGTTCCAATAGCTTTGTTGTTGTTGTTTGGTGGATTCCTTAGGGTTTTCATATATAATGCCATGCCATCTTCAAATAGTGACAGGTTGTATCTGTCTTTCTGATATTTGATGCCTTTCTTTTCTTTTTCTGCCCTAATTGCTCTGGCTAGGGCTTCTAATACTGTGTTGAATAAAAGTGGCAAGAGTGGACATCCTTGTCTTGTTTCTCATCTTAAAGGAAAAGCTTTCATTTTTTTTTCACCATTAAATATGATGTTAGCTGTGGGCTTGTCACATATGGCCTTTATTATTTTGACATATATTCCTCTATACCCATTTTGTTGAGAGTTTTATCACAAATGTTGTTGAATTTTATCAAATGCTTTTTCTGCATCTATTGACATGATCACAGAATTTTTATCCTTCATTTTGTTAATGAGATATATCATGTTTGATTTGCAAATGTCAGACCATCTTTGCATCCCTGGAATAAATTCCACTTGATCATGGTGTGTGATCATTTTAATGTATTGTTTAATTCAATTTGCTAATATTTTTTTTAGAATTTTTGCATTTATGTTCATCGGGGATATTAGCCTGTAATTTTATTTTCCTGTGGCATCCTTATCTGATTTTGGTATCAAGATCATGCTGGCCTCATAAAACGAGTTTAGAAGTGTACCTTCCTCTTCTATTTTGGAAAAGTTTGAAATCAATTGGTATTAATTTTTATTTGAATGTTTGATGTAATTCTCTAGTAAAGCTGTCTGGTCTTGAATTATTTTGCGGGAGGGGGTGGAATTACTGATTCAATCTCCTTACTAGTATTTGGTCTATTCAGATATTCTATTTCTTCATGATTCAGTCTTAGTATGTCTAGGAATTTTTCCCATTTCTTCTAGGTTGTCCAATTTGTTGGCATTTAATTGTTCATAATTGTCTCTTATAATCCTTTCTATTTCTGTGGTGTCAAGTACAACATTTCATCTTTCACTTCTGATTGTATTTCAGTCCTCTCCCTTTTCTTCTTGATGAGTTAAACCACTATATACATTTTAATCTCTTAGTCACAGAGAGTGCCATCGCTTCAAGCAGAAGGTAGCGATCACTGAGACCTAGATATCTCAAAACACAAAGAAAGGGAAGGTATCCTTAGGGAACAGGTAGAGAATTCTTTCATATATGCTTTAGGCCAGTAATGAAGTAACCTCCAACCTACCTTGGGAGCTCTTCAAAGCTCTTTTTCTGACTCCCATCTAGTCCTCTGGGCCTTCGATTCTCTGAATTCATGACCCTGAACTCAATCCGTTTGCTGTTCTCTTCAGTACATATGCAGTAGCACACTGGCCTGTCTTCAACAGGAAAGAAAAGAGAGCCCTGGAATTCCGGAAGGAGGGCAGTTCCATTCTGGGCTTATGCCAGGTCAGGAGTATCATGGAGGACATGAGCTGACCTTGAAGAAAACAGCAACAACATAGACTGGGATGTTTCCAGCAAGATCAAGAGGTTGATATCATCATCTAGCACCAGGATCTCTCAATTATTCAATGGGTTCATCATGTAGACTGAATTATCATAAAGCCCTTTTATACCTCTACCCTTTTATCCATCTACCCCCAACCCCCAGATAGTAAGCTCTAGGGCAGGACTATCTCTCTTATTAATCATTGTATTTTGGGGTTCAGGATGCTGAACAATATGGGATGACATTATTTTTACCTTGATAGCAGAGCAACAAGTTCTGCCTATGATCAAAAAAATCTGCCTCTACTAAAAATTTTTTCTATCAGCCTACCCCCAAGCTCCAATTCAACCAAGCTGCTTCTACTAGGGGAATAGGTATAGTATAATGAAAAACCTCTCCTATGACCCATGCCTATAGGCTGTTCTAAACTTGCATCAACTAAGATTGTTCTCTACTAGAGTTATAAAGTCATGATATCTATCAGTTTTATGACTATGTGTAGAGTACTTTATAACTCATTTAATGTTTAATCCTACCTTTAAAGATAGGTATGAATAGCCCATTTAAGAGATGAGGAGATTGCCCTGGCCAGTTTGGCTCAGCGGTGTGAGCGTCCACCCAAGGACCGAAGAGTCACAGGTTGGATTCCTGGTCAAGGGCACATACCTGGGTTGCAGGTTCAACCCCCAACCCATGTCTGGGTTGTTCAGGAGACAACCAACTGATGTGTCTCTTACATTAATGTTTCTCTCTCTTGCTCTCCCCCTCCCTCCTTTCCACTCTATCTAAAAATTAATGGGGAAAAAAAATATGCCTGGGTGAGGATTAACCAAAAAAGAGAGAGAGAGAGAAGAAAACTAAGCTTCATAGCATTATATAAATTGGCCAAGATCTACCACTCAGAAAGTGCTAATGCCAGCATTGGAACCAAGTAGATAACTCTAACGTCCATGCTCTTTCTCACATTATGCAAGTTCTCCTAACAACAAATAGAAGCATTTGCCTTTTGATGAAGAATTGTACTCAAAGCCTTTAAATATGCAGGATTAACCTACAATTTTGGACTGAAAGGTGGCAGAGTTGGAATTCTGAGTCAGAGGCTCTGCTCACTAGTCAGTTGCTTTTTCTATCCACTTAATCTGAGAAATGCCTGTGATGCACCTCTGCTCATTCAGTTCATTGTCGCTTGGTCATCCTCATGTATCTTTTCCTTTTGTAACAGGACATGGTGACTTCAGCTTCTACTTACCTGTTTGAAGCCACGGAAAAAAGATTTTTTTTCAAAAGCATATCAATATTGATTCCTGAGACTTGGAAGGAAAACCCTCAATACAAAAGACCAAAACATGAAAGTTACAAACATGTAAGAGTCAAAAAACTTCTCTTAAAATATTATATTTTCTGATACTCCTATATTGAACTTCAAATTGATTGTTTCAGAGTTTTTCTGACTAAATGTTATCATTTCTATTTCTGATTATTTAAAAATCTTTTAAAATATTCTCAGGCTGATGTTTTAGTTACACTACCAGCCCTACCAGGTGGAGATGAACCATACACCACGCAGTTCAGTGGCTGTGGAGTAAAAGGAGAACACATTCATTTCACCACTGACTTTGTACTTGGGAAAAAACAAAATCAATATGGACCAACAGGTAAAAATTTAGGTTAATATATACTTTGCAATGATCCCAATAAGCAGCTGTGTACCCAGGTTAGGTGTACAAACCCTAGAGTTATAGTCTATAGGTTCAATCTGATTTCCCCTACTTATCAGCTCTGGACAAGTAAGCTAGTTCTCAGTAGCATGTCTATAGAAATCTGAACACAGAGCAACAATAATAAATCTTTTTCTTAAAAAGTATACTTTTCAAACCTTAACTTTCCAGTTCTCCACAGCTGGATATTAATCGGCCACATCTCACCTTGACGGAAGGCAGATGGGTGTAAAGCTGAAAAGACACAAGATGTTTTGGCCAAGACAAAAACACTCACAGGCCGTAGTTGCTGATACTATTATTCAACCTATTTGGTTGAACTAGAAGTGCTTGTCTTTTAGTGACCATTTCACCTATAAAAAATGGCAATTTCATCTAAAAGCTCAATCTTAAAGTTAAGATCACGCGTTCAAATGAACCTAAAGCATGTTGTTTTACATCACTACAGGAAAACATTCCTAGATCCACATACCCCAAGATCACCTCTCCTTCTTCCACTGTTCCTTCAGTGAGCATTCATGAAGTCTCTTGTTTCTGTCAAACACTCAGTTAGCCCTGATTCTCATCAGTACCTGAACCTCTTACCCACCCCAGTCTTGAAAGCTCCATCATCTCATCCCATTTCGGTCTTAACTCTCCCCCATACTTTTATCCAACCTCCATGTTTGTTCTCCTTGGCAACTCTAATGTTTTGCTCCCTTCTAGCTATACTTTTTTTCCCTACTTGGCATGTCCAGCAAAGTGTAAATAGCTCAATTCCCTCACCACTCTTATCCTTATGCTTTATTCAACGTGCCAGATTCCCTCTACTGCATTTCCAGCTGGTTTCCTTTTGCTCCTGTTAATGTTCCCAAGACAGTGAAAGAAAATTACAAAATGAATTGGTATCATTCAAAAAAAAATGTTTTAAAATTAGCGAAGCCCTCAAAGCCACTCAACAACGTTGTACTTGCCTCTTCTCAACTCCTTCTCATTCCTAAGCAGCTGTTCTAAAACTTGTACCATTTTCTCAAGATCTCGGGCCACTTTTTCCAATCCCATCAATCAACAGAGGACTCGGTTGAGAAACTAGAACCCTTACCTTCTTCTGTGCTACTTCCAAATGCATGCCCAGCTACACCTATTTTAGACAAGGAGGATTTTCTCCAGTTTTTAAAGTTAACATCCCAACTAGAGCTTCTGCTCTTTTCTCATACCCGTACCTCGGCGCTATTCCATGACTCACAGTTTTCCCCCTTGCTCTTAGGAATTTCTCCTACAATGTGATATATGTGTTTGTGAAAATCTCACATTCTGGAAAACAGTGTTCTGTAAACAACACAACTCTTGAAAAATAAGATTAAGAAAAGGGTCCTCAAAATATACGCAATTTGTAATAAAAATGATAACAACAATGACAATGGCTACCTGAAATGACCATTTGAACCATCCTGGCCCTAGCTCAGTTTGGCTGGAAGCTACCATCATAGTAGATATTAAAAACGCACACACAAGCACACACACAGAGCAAAATGCTACTAGAAATCAGAACGGGGCTAGCGGGAACTGAGACAATGATATAGGTGGGGATGAAATTCTAAGTCATAGGCGCTGCTTTTCTTGCAATAAAACTTGTGTATATTTAAGGTGTAAAACATGATGATTTGATATACATATTGAATAGTGAAATGATTCTATATAGTCACCTTTGTGTGTGGGGGTCAGGGGGTGAGACCTGAAATCTACCTTCTTAGCAAATTAAGGTGGGCGTGGGAGGCAGGCAACCTGCCAGAAGCTGAGAAGGAAGCGAGTCTAAGGGTGGACTGCTGTAAAAAGAGAGCCACAGGTGCAGGCGGTCTTAAATTTTCTTAAAATTCACTAAATTCCTATGATTTGAGGAATTTAAGTGATATGAGGGTTTGTTTTTTCTCCTGTATTGAAGGTTATATATAATTTCATAATCACTAATCTGACTCCATTTGCCTAGGAAATCTTAAATCAGTGCTTTTAAAGTTTAATGTGTAGAGGAGTGACTTAGGGATCGGATTCTGATTCAGTAGGTCTAGTGTAGACCCAAGATTTTGTATTTCTTGTTAGCTCCCAGGTAATGCTGATACTCTGGGTCAAGAACACATTTGAGAAGCAAGGACTTAAAGAAAAAACATGATTTTTGCATAATAACTGATATTTTTCTCCTATTTTCAGATCTCATTCGTTCATTTGAGTTAGGGAAGCTCATAGTAGCAGAACAGACTATATTTCTATCCTTCCCTTCTCCATTTCTATTTCCTTTGAAGTTTTTCCTAATATTGATAAAACAAAAATTCAACTTGTTTTTTTCTTCCTGCATTGCAAGCTGCAGCTTTATCTTTATTCTTCTATTTACCCTGAAATTCTTAGGGAAAAAAATCTTTGTTAATCTGATTCTCTCTCTCTAAGTTTATCCTAGTAAAGAAAAATACCTTACTGATCTTTGTATTTCCTAGTACCTAGTATAGTGTTAAATATATATTTAATAGTATTAATTTCATATAATTAATGATTATATGTGCTAACTAATATAAACTAATCACTTCCCTTAGATAGCCCCAACATTTTATATGATCTATAGTAGTGTTTTGAACCTTTTTTTTCAGTATCAATCCCCTAAGGAACATTTATAGACATTTTTTAACATTTAATTGGGCCCTCGTGAAATTTTAGTACCACAAATTTTACATATCTGTTTATGTTGTCAGTAGAAGTGAACTTTGTAGAACTGAAAATCATTGTAACAGCTAAGATTTTTGACCCCACCAAAGAACCAAAACCTAAAGCCCAGTCGATTCTGTCCATAGCATATACATACCTACATAACAAATGTGTCATTGATTTAACAGTTGTAGAATGAAAAGATAATATACTATATACCATATTATAATTCAATAGAATGCTATATGCTTTTTACAATAAAAAATATGAATATTGGCAGTTATTTAAAAGCTAAATACAATTACTTTTATTTTTACAAAACATTTCTTAAAATATTTGAAGGGCAAATTTTGTCACTAGCATTACGATCATGTATTGGAAATATTTCCCCACAGGTCGACTGTTTGTCCACGAGTGGGCCCATCTCCGCTGGGGAGTGTTTGATGAGTACAATGACAATGAGCCTTTCTACAGTGTTACGCCAAGAAGAATTGAAGCAACAAGGCATGATCATTTACATTTTCTTAAATTACTTCATGCTGTAATTTCCTATTTTCCTTAGTTTGATTTATATTTATTTGAAATGCCAATCATCATTTTGTCCCAATGCAGATAATAGATGTTATATCATAAAACAGTGCTTTTCTGTTGTGTGTGTTTTTTTTAACACATAACTTCAAGAACATTTTGAAGCTGAGTTGACATATTTTTATACTTCTCCACCATGGTTACCAGAACTCATTTACACTGACGTTGTGCTCTGTGTAGAGTTGTACTATATGCTGGGAGTTCAAAAGTGTTTACATTACATAAGAATGAAAAAAGAGGTTAATAAATAGTGGTAACTGTAGGCTGGGAAAAATTCAACCAGCTTCAAGGAGCCGAAACAGAAATTTCCTGAGATTTATAAAATTTATTTTAAAATACCAAACTAACATCACAGTTAATAATAGACAACCATCTTGGTTCTGAGGTCAAGAGAGCAGAATGGTTGGAGGAAATCTAAAAGTATGTTCCATTAAAAAAAAATAAAAGTATGTGCCATTAGTCTAATCAATCTTAGATGCTCTGTTGGGGCTGGAGACTTATCATAAATGTACAAACTCTAAGATATATAATTTCAATGAAGACCCTTTATCATCCCAGAGTACCAGTTTCAGGACTGGTATAGAGAATATTACATTGATTACATTTGTTTACATCATATTCCACCTAAATGTTTAGTTTATACTGCAGAAAATTCATCATGGTCATTCATATAGATAACATCATTATATTCACTGAGTTTCGGGGCAGTAATAGCCTACATGTATGCAGGAAACTCCCTAAATGAATGAATAAAAGCTAGTCATTGCCTCTTAAATATAAACTGAAAATACATTGAAAAGATCCGATATATTTACATGCCAGCAGGTTTGTTATAATCACTGCCACCTGTGGCCAATTCTATGCAATAAAACATATGCCTAAAATGCCTCCACCATTCTTTACTATCCCAGGCACTACCTCAGCCTTTCCTTTAGGCCACCTTTCACTTTGGATAAAAGTGCTCCTTGAATAAACAAAACACTTGTAGTTTTGCCACATCCAATTCTTTGGAGATATCTTCTTTGGAAAAAAAAAAAAAAAACTATAAAGCAAAGGTGGTACCAAGAGAAAATGGTTTCACAATTTACCCTACCCAGAGGCCTGCAATACATTTACTTCCCAAGGCTACCAAGAGAGATGTTTGGAAAAGGGGAGCCTACAGCCACTAGTGTAAACAGGTCAGCAGCACTTCTTAATCTCAGCAGATAACGTAGCCATTGCATATACTGGGGATACCACTTAAAGTTTCCCTCTGAAATTTTTTGGAAAACTGCTCTGGTAGAAATCCTTAAACTTTGCTGTAAAATAAGAATAAAAACCTTGATGTAAGGATCATTGTGAATAGGAACACTTAGGATTTTTTTTTAAAAGTTAATGGCTAGGTTGCCTCAAAGACTAACTGTCACTTATTTTCAGGTGTTCCGAAAGTGTTACTGGTATGAATAGAGTTTATAAGTGTCAAGGAAACAGCTGTGCACTTAGTAAATGCAAAATTAATTCTACAACACAACTATATGAAAAAAATTGTCAATTCTTCCCTGATAAAGAGCAAATTGAAAAGACATCCATAATGTTTATGCAAAGTATTGATTCTGTAAGTATGTCAATTATTACTTCACATAGTATATTTATAATCAAAGGACATGATATCATGTTTACGTGAAATATCTGTGCAAGTGACCTGAGGGATTAGATGTATTAATATAGAGTTCTTTGAACATTGGCACACAGGAAGCACTCAATTAGTGTTACTTATTATAACTATTATTGAAAATCCACCTTACTATTGTATGATTTTCAATGAATCAAATTTTATTCAATAAACAGCCTATTTGCATAGCAGATTTTTTTTAATCAAAATTTTAGTTGAATTTTTAAATGCGTCATATATAAAGCTTATTTGTTCCATCTTACTAACCTTTTAGGTTGTTGAGTTCTGTAATGAAAAAAACCATAACCGAGATGCTCCAAACCTACAAAACAAAATGTGCCAATCCAGAAGCACATGGGAGGTGATCAGTATTTCTGAGGATTTTAAAAACACCACGCGTATGGAGAAATCACCCCCTCCACCTGCCTTCTCACTGCTGAGGATCAGAGAAAGAATTGTGTGCTTAGTTCTTGATAAGTCTGGAAGCATGGGGGTAAGTTTATGAGCCCATTTTTCCTGGATATAGTGACTAGTGGAGGTACGAATGCCTAAGAACACTCTGAACACTACCTTCACCTGGGTAGTTCTGAACTGCAAGGTGGCGTAAATCCCATCACATCCTGTGATCATGACCTCAGGATGGGCAGTGACTATTGTAATAAAAGAAGGATGACAATGGAGTTTAAAAGACTTAATCTGAAACTCTCTTTTTCTTCCAGAAAATGGAGGGTTTACTAGGGAGAACTTTTAGGCCCATTAACAAAGATTTAGTTAGAAAATCAGAACAAGAGATTGAAATATGAAAATGTTTTCTTATCTGCCCTCTTTATCTACTGGAAATATTTGACAGACAGGAGAATAGAGTGAAATGCTGAACTCCATTCAGAGTTGAGCTTATATTTATCATCCATATAAATGACCTCTTTATGATCAATGATACAAACAAAATCATCACTGTAAGGAAGCTATGGCTGGATTCAGCCACTCATTCCTTCTACTGTCATTTAGTAAATGGTAGGCATTGTGCTAGGCTCTGGGAACAGAGACCCATATCCTTGAATGGCTCCCAATTGCATAGAGAAAACTTTTTCTTCCCCATTACCTGGTTAATTCATATTCCTCCTTCAAAATTTGGTACAGGCATTCACCTCCTCCAGAAGATAGACTAGTCTTCCAGGCTGGGCTAAAGGCTCTTCTACTGGTCTCCCACAATAAACTGAGCAAATCTCTATTACTATACATTATACTGAAATTATACATTTCTCTCCCACTGGATTAGGAGCTCCTCTAGAAACCATATCCTCTAGAAACCATGTCCTCTAATACTTGAAACCATGTCTTTTTTTAAAATAATTTTTCTTTATTGATTTTAGAGAGAGTGGAAGGGAGAGGGATAGAAACATCGATGAGAGAGAATATCAATTGGCCACCTCCTGCATGTCCCCCCACTGGGGATTGGGCCCACAACCTTGGCATGTGCCCCAAATGGGAATCAAACCAGTGGCCTCTTGGTGCATGGGTCAATGTTCAACCACTGAGCCACACCAGCTGGGCTTGAACCATGTCTTATTCATCTTGTCTCCCTTTTGCCTAGAATAGTATTTACCACATATAGGTCCTCAATATATAATTATTGAAATAAATGGGCACACAAGAGCAGACATAATGTGATAAGGCACCCAGAAGAATGGCACATTTGAGACAGGACTGAGCATACTAAAGATCAGAAAGAATGCATTCAACAAATGGGAGATTGTGTAGTTACTGAAAAGGGCAGTGACTAATTTACAATAGCACATGGTTTCAGAAAGAGCATCAGTGCTAGCCACCAGTACATGGAAGTGTTCTAGGAAGCATTGTTGGGGAGAGATGACAGAGCCAGGTTTAAAGGTAAAGCAAAGTGGCAGAGAGAGCCCTCAAAGATGGGGCTGTAGACGTCTCTCGCTTGGATCTAGGAGGTTCAGAAGGAAATGTGGGAATGTGTTAAGGGGGAGGTACTACAGATAACTTGGTGTTGAGACTAGAAAAGACAAATGTATGAACAGACTTACATCCTGGGCATTCACTTAGGTTAGAGGGATGTAAGTCTTAATGGGTTACTAAAGAACCAATTAATCCATTGATGCAGAAATGGTGAGGAAAGGTTAGGAGCAGACAAGGTAAGTGGATGGGGAGATTTCAGTCTCTAGCTGGAGTTCATGACAGTCTGGTTTGATATTGTGGGATCTAGGGAGTGGTTTCATCTTGATACCCCAGGGGTAGTTAGGAAGTCTTCAAGACATGAGTCATCACCCCTCAATCCTAACCCAACCCCCTGAACCTACACCTGTAATTTGGGTGCTAAGCAGCCAAGAATCACTTCTACTTAAAAGCCTGTGTACCTGATTATACTATACGTGTTCCATTGTACACATAACTGTTTTTTTAATGTTATCACTTTAAAAATTGCTTTCTTAAATAACACCAACTACTAATAGAAAATTCCTAACAAATTCTGTTTACTCATTTTATGTAATCTGCTCTTATTTTCCTGTCAAAACCAATGGGTTGTTTTTCTTGTCCTTTTTCATTCAGGATTATAATCGTCTAAATCGAATGAATCAAGCAGCAAAACTTTTCCTGCTGCAGACTATTGAAAACGGAACCTGGGTGGGGATGGTGCACTTTGATAGTAACGCCATCGTTAAAAGTGGGCTAATTCAAATAATAAGCACCAATGAAAAAGACAAGCTCTTGAGTAGTTTGCCTACAGCAGCTAATGGGGGAACTTCCATCTGCGCTGGGATTGAATCAGCATTTCAGGTGAAAGTCAACTGCATGCATACTTTGTTTTGTTTTTTATTATTAGGACAGTTTTCTATTAGTGCAGCTGCACACACTTGCTCACTAATTTTAACATAACTGATTCTAAAAAATACAAAACTAAGAACATAAAACATTCACTTGATTTCCTAAATGGGTCAGTGAATCATTGAATAAACAGATAGATAAATATATTACTATAAAAATGCCACTAGAATATAAGTCCAGTAAAGTCAGGGACTTTGTCTTGTTTTTGTTTTTTGTTTTACCTTGCAAAAGTCAGTGCTCAGTAAATGTTATTTAAATAAATAAATGTGATTGGGCAGCAAAAGTCATCAACTTTTAAGGCAATGGAACAAGTTACATGGCATGATTCCACTTTGGGCCAATTCTCATTTCAATCTCTGTGACATTCAGTTAGGACAACCTGATTTTTATCTATTAAGCAGATGTAGCAGGGACTCTTAATCCTATGGTAAGGACATGAGTTTTGACATCAGAGTACTAACTGCTATTGAGCAGCTATGTGATCTTAGGCAACATTTTCAGTATCTTTGGACTCTGAATGCCTTATCTATAAAATATAGGCAAATAAGAATGTCTACCTCATGAGATTATTATAATTAAATGAAATTATATATTTACATACTTAGAATAATATTTATTAAGTTACATAGTAAATTTATAATTCACAACTATTATTATAAACTTTATTTTTTTTAATATTGTTATCTTGAGCTTATAATGACTATCAAGTATGTCATTTTCCTGCTTAGAAATCTTCATTCTCACAGTCTATAAAATTGTATTGAATTCTTCAGTCTGGTGTTATTCAAAAAGTCTCTCACCCCTTCAATAAAACTGCTCTCATATCTCTCTCTGGCCTTTTTTTCTCAGTTCTCCTTTCTGTTGCTCTATATTCTAACCAATTTACTGCACACATTGTTCTCCAAGCCCACACATTGTTCTCCAAGCCCACGGACTAACAGCCTCTGCACCTTTGCCCAGGCAATCCCTCTGCCTAAAATGTTTCCTTCTTTCCACCTTTGCATGTTAAGATTCTACCAATTCTTCAAAATCCTTCCTTCTTCATGTAGCATTTCCATGTATTCCCAACACTACTAAATCTCTCTCATTTATGAATTGCAAGGCATTTTAGTGTAGCTTTCTAACATGAAGTCCTAGGTTAAAACTTCAGTGATCACTTACTAACTTTGTGACACTAAGCATGATTCTTCATCTCTGTCGCCATCAACTACCTCTTTGGTAAAATGGGGTAATGAAAGCTAGCATATAGAGTCAATTATGTTTAATTTATTCAAGATACATTTATTGTAGGAAACAGAGGGCAAACATACCATATATTATTGTATACAACATATATTATGTGCCAAGCAAAGCTTCTCTGTCCTCATGGTATATGCAATTTCAGTGGGGAATAAATAATACACAGATAGATACATGAATAAAAACAATAATTGGACATTGTAGAGATAGTGTTGTGAAGAAACCAAACAGGGTGATGTGACACAGTAACTGCAAGAAGGGGCACTGCCTACTCAAGGTGAAGAGGTCATTGACCCTCTCTGAAGGATACCATTGAAGCTATGATTTGAAGGATGAAAAAGAGCCATTGGTTCCAAAAGAAAAGAAAGTACAAAGTCTCTTAAGAAAGAGGTGAAAAAGAACTGGATTATTCTAAGAGTTGTTAGAGTTAGTGGCACTGGAGTTTGGTAAATAAGGGGGTAGGAAGTGCAGTCGGTAGGTAGATAACGGCTAGATCTTTCAAAACTTAAAAACATAAGAGGTTTTTATTTTATGTTAAGTCCAACAGAAAGCTACTAGAGGGTTTTAAGTATGAGAGCTTGATCATCAATTCATATTTTAGGAAGATGACTCTGGTGCCCCTGTATAAAATAAACTGTAGGGAGTAAGCATGGTAGTAGGGCAGTGGTCTGGGGACAGATTGGGAACTTGAACTTGGATTAAATTACACATTGTATAAAACACATTCAACACTTAGCAAATGTTCCAGAAAATGTAGCACCATTATACTGTGCTGTTTCTCTTCAACTACAGAATACATGAATTGTGTCTTTTCCCTCATCTCCTATCTCCTCAGTCTCACCTCTACTTCAATAAACAATTTTAAATTTAATTCCATTCTTCCCAGGAAGGCAGGAACCTGTCGTTCCTGTTGAATCTCCAGCAGCCAGGAAAGTGACTAAACACACACTAAGTGCTCAGTGAATAACTAATACAAGAAAGGGAGAGGTGGAGAAAAGAGAAATCTACTTCATCTTTGGATCTTCATTTTGCAATGAAATGTGTAGGGGGAATGTGATGGGGAGACGGTATAAATGTTGTAAATGTATAAAAGTATTTCCAATTTCTCAGTTTGATTTTAGGGAATATCAGAGCATATTTCCCCCCAAACTGCAATATATATAATAGTCATTATTTGCCTCAAAACATGCAAAAATTTAAATGAGGCTGTTTCCGTTATTCCCTGACCTCAGGTCATTAGGGCTTTCCACATTCCAAACCTGTTTCTGTAAATCTAACAAACCTCCACTCCAAGTCCATGAAAGCCACTGATACATCTGTCATGTTTTCTTCTCTTAGCCTGCACTCAATTTTTCAAAATGGTATACCAAGAAGCCACTACCTGTTAAACCTGTCAGAGAAGATGAAATATAGTTGCTATCCTGTGACAAATTGTCTTTATCCTTTTTTTTTTTACAGGAGCTTCGATTCAGAAATCTAAGTGTAAACTGTTTGGCTTTTATAGGAAAAAGGTTCAAGCCACAAATAACATTCCACCTCAATAAACATAATTTATGTATTCTCTAAGCACCACAGATATACTTAGTTTTGTGCTTGTTGATTTCAGATGTAAAATAAAAGTTATGTAACAAGATTCTTAACCTTGACCTGCTTAGAACTTTCTATATTCTTTCTCTATAAGTGTAACTGAGGGTTGTCTAATTTGAAATAATTTTTGTTTTTTTAATGTTGAAGTGGTTTCTTAATGCATTTAGCTGTCTAAATGCAACAGATTTTATACACTGAAGGCTTGTCAGAGGGAAGTCTGGTCAAAGAAAGAAGAGAAATATTTAATGCCACACTCTGCAGTTACGCTTCTGGTTTCTTATTGACCTGACGTCCCCAGGCTGAGATGTCACTGTTATTTAACCCAAGTAGGATGCTCCAAAGCCCTACTACCACCTAATTTCACTTGAGCATACATTCCCTACAGCAGATGGACATTCCCTACAGTCATGTTTAAGTTCCCTCATGGGTTGTTGATTGCAGATTCTATAATTTTAACACAGAAGCTATCACTTATTTTCTGCATGTTTATTTTCTCTGTACACCATTTTCTAATCTCTTATAAGTCTACTTGATCTGGGAGCATTTTGGTAATTATGTTCTGATTATGTTCGCAGGTAATAGGAGCAATATACTCCCAGCTCAGTGGATCTGAAATAGTGCTGCTGACCGATGGGGAGGATAGCTCTGCAAGTCTCTGTGTTGATAAAGTGAAAGAAAGTGGGGCCATCATTCATCTTATTGCTTTGGGACCATCTGCTGATAAAGCCATCACACAGATGACCACTATAACAGGTAAAAGATGACCTATATATTCTAGCCCTTCAATGGCAGTGCGTAAGTGTAGAGACTGACAACTCAACTTCTTTTGAGCTCTGAGGGCACTGTACCAGGAGCTAGGGACCAGAGTTAAACAAGACCTGATCTTTGTTTTAAGGAGCCCAGAGTCCAGTTGGCTAGAAAGACAAATAAAACTACTAATCAGATTGTATAATCAGATAACACTCTTCCATGACAGGGGGAGTATATAGGAGCAGAGCACAGTGACAGCAGAGGAAGCCGTGATTTCTCCCAGGCTTGTATAGAGTCAAGGAAAGAAGGTATGCGAGGCAAGGTGACTTCTGAGCTGGGTCTTGAACCAGATGTTGAATTTCTCTGGAGCAAAAGGAGTACAAAAGATGGTCAGGTCATAAGTAAAAAATCATGTTGGGCCCTGGCCGGTTTTGCTCAGTGGTTAGAGCATCGGCCCGCGGACCATACAGTCCCGGGTTCGGTTCCGCTAAGGGCATGTACCTCAGTTGTAGTTTGTCCCCAGCCCCAGTGGGGGTTGTGTGGGTGGCAACTAGTCAATGTGTTTCTCCCATGAAGGTGTTTCTCTCTCTCTCTTCCTCCCTCTCTCCCTCCCACTCTATCTAAAGATAAATGCAAAAGTGTCCTCGGGTGAGGATTAAAAAAAAAAATCATGTTGGGATGGCAATGCCAGGCACATGGAGAGAAAGAAATCCATGAGTCCAAAGCTTACTTAGGCTGCAGGGGTAGGGGGACGATGGGATTCACACACGCTCAGGCTGAATAGATGTAAATAATGAAGTTTCTAGATAAACATTTACTTTGGTAGCTGTTATCTTAGATACAGAGACAGGATGAAAATGAACTACATGTTTTCAATGCCTTCTTAAATACAGTAGAGAATACATAATTTAAAACTATGAACATCAATTATTATATATTGAGTTGGCTTCTAATGTTACCAAATATATACTTGCTTTTTAAATGCTTAGTTGTACAAACTCACATACTTTCAAAGTGCATTCATGGCCATTGTAAAATTTATTTCTGTCCCAAGTAGCTCCCAAAAGTAGTACTTGTTTAGACTTGTCTCCATTGCTTACTGTTTTCCTGACTCCTCAGTGCAGGCCATTGTCAGGATACCTCAACATAGCAGCACTTTAACCATTCTAGGTCTCTGATTCTGATCCACTGTGGCCAGAAAATCTGAAGGCCAATACTGTTAAGAACTGTCTCATAAATAAAAATGAATAATTCCCCTAAAAGGACTGCGTAAAATCTGTGAGTTTGAATATGTGGAATTGTAACGTCTTTTTTGTATTCTGTGATCATTCAATGCATTTCAACCAGCTGAGATTTCTGTAAGGTATCAAAGCGGCTTACGCTTTCTGGTTATGACGTTTTTAAGTTAACATTTCAGACTTTACCTCTATCTGGTTTGAGTCTATTTTAATAATATGTACTGAAACTTATTTTGTTTATCCCGTTGCCTTAAAATCGCTAACTTGTGGTAAGTACTTGCTTTCTGGAAAGCAACTTAGCAACTGTATTTTCATTTTAGGAGGAAAACATTTTTCTCCCTCGGACAATGCCGAGAGCAATGGCCTCATCGATGCTTTCGGGGCCCTTTCTTCGGGGAACACCGCCGCCTCCCAGCAGTCCCTTCAGGTCTGAGTCCCGCTCCTCAGTTTTCGTGTTCGCATTTAGCCATAACGAAGAAACATTATTTGGTTGTTATAAGTTTTGAGTTCTATATTTTCCTCAAAGTCAATTGTAAATTAAAATCAAAACTTAAGTATGAAATGGAAATTATTCTTTAGATATGGCCAAACTAAGTAGTAAAATAGTAAAGTAGTAAAATAGCAAAGATATATATATATATCTATATTTTTCTTTTCACACAGAGTTTGGCTAAGGAATAACATCAAAATGTTAAACTTTTCGTAAAAATTAGACTTTGTTCAATAATATAGCATCTGTTTTTCTCTGAGTGCATAAAAATATCTCATACTTCCAAGATTTCTCTCACCCTTGGCTGCTGTGAAATAAATTTAGATTAGATGAATGAACTCAAGAACCTGGCTTACAAATGGACAGGAAGTGTCTTGGAAAGAAACTGACCTGAAGAAAGAGAATGAATAATCATTACAGATCTAAAAATGTAGTGTTTCTTTTACGTCTTCAACCTCTCTTTTCACTGGCTCTCTATTTTATTCACCTCTTTTCTGGACTCAACTCCTTTTTTTATTTGTGCTTAAATAACACTCTCATTTTCTGTTACTTAGATTTAAAAACTGTGACTAAATTTTTATTCTTCACTTGTGTCCATTGTAAGATGTCGACACGGATTATTTCCTTGCAAATATTTACAAAGTTCTGTTTTTATGCATATCCATTCCCACCAAGGTCTCAGCCTATGTGCACACTTGACAAGAGCACCTAAACAAACCTATTTTCCTCTCATCTCCAACAATGAAGAGCACATAAATGATAGGAGGCAGGATTAGGAGTATATGTGCAGATTGATGTAGAGATCTGGTTTGTAGCCCTACCTTGCAAACAGATTAAAAAGTGGTCTGGGATCTAGCTTGGCAGTGTATGGAGAATAAACTGAAGGAGAACACTAAATTCAATTCCCAAGGGTTTCAATCTGTTTGACTCAGAAAATGACAATACTACTGTCTAAAATTGTCAAGCAAAGAGGGCGAACTAATTTTGAAGATATTAGTTTGTATTCTGTTTAAGCATTAGTAATTTTCAGTGGATGGTGGGATATTAAAATAAAATAGTTTTAAAAATTATAAATATAAGAACAGGTTGTGGAAAATCAGCCAGAAAAGACACATTTGCATACAGGAAGTGCTCAAAGTTTTTAAAATGGACTTAAACTGTATGGATGGGGCAGAAGGTTTTGTTCCCCTCACTAACAGCTGAAATACGGAGCCCCACTCCTTACTCAGTCATTGTCCCCTGGTGCTACTCTCCTGATGGGGAGTCTAAGAAAGTCATTCATATTTCAGATTTAACTCGATAATACTTTGCTCACTCAAAGACATATCCACTTAACATAGGACTGAGATTTTTGTTATTGCAATGATGTTTCAGTGGTAGACTTCACTCTTTTCTCTCAGCAGTGATATGGAAGTATTTTGGGTTTAGGGATGGGTTAAAGTAGAAGTAGAATTTCCCATCACTTCATGATATGGCACATCTGTTGAAAGCACCATTTTGGTCAGAAGATAAAATTCACCATACTTGCCTAAGAGCCATCTGCAAAGACTTGAAAAACTTTCTTTGAGGCTCCTCTCCAAGAAAGGTCCTAACAGTCACTTCTCTTCTCAAGATTCCAACCTTCATAAACATCCTTTGGTCCTCTTTACACTCTTGTTGGACATGTTTAATGTCCAGGGCTACTAACTCTACAATGTGTGAAAATTTATTTGAAGATTTCCCATCAGAAAAATACCCATGAGTGCTTTTCTCATTATTTGCTATCCCTGACTTTCCTGTGCCTCTACTCAAATACTGTAGCCACCACCAATAAGTATTTTCTTTTAGGTCATCATAAAGATGGATAAACTGAGGGTAATTCACACACACACACACACACACACACACACACACACACACCCTACAGCTAATTCTTCTTCAACGTTGTAGCACCCTTTAATGCTAAAGTCTCAAGTGGGTGTTCACAGAAACAACTGGAAAAAAATAATACAGCCACGTGTCCAACTGTAAAACCCACGCTCCTGCTCTGATGCTTTTATCATACTCTGTCCTTTCCTCAGACCCTACATTTCCACACTTTCTGTGGAAATGTCTGTGGAAATGTCACATCCCAATCAGCTTTCACGGAGATCACAAGCCTAAGGAGTTATTTCTCAGGCCAGAAATTAAGAACTATGTTTTTGTTTTTTAATTTTTAAGAATAAAATTACTCTTCTCTCCAGTCATTAATTTTTTAAAGATGTATTTTTTACAGCTTGAAAGTAGGGGATTAAAGCTCAGTTATAATCTCTGGATGAATGGAACTGTAATCATTGACAGCACTGTGGGAAAGGACACATTCTTTCTCATCACATGGGAAAAGCAGTATCCCACGATTTCTCTCTGGGACCCCCATGGAACATCAATGACAAATTTCATTGTGGACAATGATTGCAAAATGGCCTATTTCACTGTTCCGGGAATTGCAAAGGTAAGCAATCACCTTTTTGATTTCCACACAAATCTGTTTCATGGCTAAAAATACATTGTTTAATATCATCAATATGGGTACCAATACTTGTATCATCTTCAAAATTAAGATAAAATACAATGTACTTGCTGTGCCTGTATGGTCCTGAAAATTGTGGTGGCAGGGAAAGGAGAAAAGGACTTATGCATTAAGAGGAAGGGAGAAAAGTGGAAAAATGAGGTAGGCTAAGAATAACTTTGAGGAGGCAGTGTAGGGAGTCTGTGCAACTTGGTGTGTACATAGTCATTCCTTATCACCATTACCAGATCATAGAATTTATGAACACCCAGGTCAATGAGTAAGGTCAAGACAAAGGCAAACTTTCCAAAACTTATTTTTCCCAGCTGAGATTTCACAAAGTTTGGAGACTGTGCATGACAATAGCCAGGATGCCCTGCCCAAGCTGTCTCCATTATCATCCTTTCACATTCAAAAAATAAATAAATATATAAATAAATAAATCGTTCAAAAATTTCAAACCCTATCTTTTCTGCAACATATTTCTAAGATTTATTTTGGAGTTGGATAATGGAAACAAAAAAAAAATAACTTGATCTTGGATACTCACTCTATTCCTTTGAATTTTTAGGCGGGTGTTTGGACGTACAATCTTCAAGCCAAAGCAGACTCAGAAACATTAACTATAACAGTTAATTCTCGGGCAGCAAATTCTTCTGTGCCTCCAATCACAGTGAATGCTAAAATGAATAAAGATACAAACAGCTTCCCCAACCCAATGGTTGTTTATGCGGAAATTCTACAAGGGTATACTCGCATCATTGGAGCCAATGTGACTGCGTTCATTGAATCAAGTAGTGGGAAAACAGAAGTCTTGGAACTTTTGGACAATGGTGCAGGTAATTTACAGTTTGGTTAAAGAATTCGTCTATGTTTCCATAACTCAGGATATGTTTGGGTCCATGGCAGTATAGGGGAGCGACAGACACCAAGAAAATCGATGCAGATTATGGATGAACTGCAGGGCCAGCAGGAAATTCTATCCTGGTACATCCTACAAAGTGATTAGGAAGTGTTTTGCCCATAGTAATAATAAATGTCATTTACTGTCATTATTGTTTGTCATCTAGACAGAAAGGTCTCATTCAAGAGAGTGAGGATGGCATCAACACTCTGAACGTGTGTTTCTTAGGCACATCATCAAGGAAGTCTGGCCAGAGAGAGTGAAGCACACCAACCACAAGGGTTAGGTGGTGGGACCTGGACCCCCCAGCAGGCAAGGGGAGACAGGCAAGAGTGATTCCCAAACTGCAAATATAGTCCTGGGGACCGAGGCCCAAGGGCAGGCAGAACTGCCACAAGAGAGGAGGGGACATCACAAAGGCATCAGATACCAGGTCTGACTGGCAGGAAAACAAAATATACTGTTGGCCACACAGTCTCCCTGGTCTGCATGGGTGAGAGGTACTTAAAAACCTTTCTCACAGACTCCGGGTTTGTCTGGGAACTGAACCTTCTTTTGAGAGGTCAGTGATCAAAGAAAAAAACCAATTTGATAGACATCTGAATTACCACAGATTTCTTAGTATCCTAAGCAGTGTAATTAATCCAGTTCATTCATAATCCTATAATCAACAAGAGTTAGAAAGTAAAATTATTCTTTGGGGTACCTCAGTGACCTCCTGATCTGACAGTATTTTCCTCAACTATCCTCTAACTCTTCCTTTTCCCCCAACTCCTTCCATGCTACATAAAAATCACCTGTATCTTGTCATTTCTCAAGGTTTTACCAGGTAGCTACTTAGCTAATTTAGAATGCCTTTACCTAAGAATATATTGATGATTATCAATGACTTGTAGCAGGGGTTCTTAAACTTTAGCAAGCAGAGGAATCACCTAGAGGGCTTGTTATAACACAGAATGCTGGCCCTTCCCTAAGAGGTCTAAGAAAGTTGCATTCCTAATACAATCCAGAGAGATACAGATTCTGTTGATCCAAGGTCCTCATTTAAAGAACCTCTGTCTTGGAATGTTAAATGCCCTTGGCAATGTATTTGCAATTTAATGAATAACTTCAGTACCCATGATATCAAGAACTATACTTATGATCAGACCAGGAAGTTAATGCATCATAGAGCAAGAGGTGAGGATTTAAAAAAAAAAAAAAAGTGGTTGAAGATTATGTCAAAATAATTTGTAAGTAACTATAGTGAGAATTAAATTCTATGCTAATATACTTTTTTAGTGGAGATCCTTCTGATTTGAACAGAGAGATGACATAATTATGCATTTAGATAAACTAAGACCTTCAAACAAATCATTTGACTGAGAAATGATAAAACAAGTACTTTAATAATCTGCATATAAATTAATAAAGATGAAGGTATTTATTAGACACACATAAGTATCAGTGTGTGTATATGTGTGTAGTATTATACATATTATAATACATTTAATATTACACATATATTGATATATAAATATATAGATCATAATTCAAGGATATCAACTTAAGATACTGGTTGATAGAGCATAATAGAAATATTCCCCAAGGGGTCAATCACAAAATATGGAGTTCATTCTAAAGGATATGCTTACAAAGGCCATATGCTTGACTTAGAAAATGCATAAATTTCTCTTTTTCTTTATTATAATAATTTATTTCTTAATTTCTATAACAAGGTGCTGATACTTTCAAGGATGATGGGGTCTACTCCAGATATTTTACAGCTTATTCAGCAAATGGCAGATATAGTTTGAAAGTGCGGGCTCATGGAGGAGCAAACACTGTCACCAGAAGCTTCAGGCATACACCAAATAGAGCTGCATATATACCAGGCTGGGTAGTGGATGGTGAGTAACTCATGACAGCTGAAATCCAGTGCTGGCTGTAATAATTAATTGAGAGTTGATATGATTAAGGCTTCAAACATTTCACAACTCAAAATATAGTTTTTCCCATTTCTGCAATGAAGTTCTCAGTCATGTTGGGGTTTGCCTTCAAATTAACATATGCTTTGGTACAGTGTCTGGTATCTAGTAAGCATTCAATAAATGTCAGCCATTAAATTAATTTGGAGCACCTTACCTATAGCAATAATAATATGCCAAAATTTAACGAAGGGTGAAGGGACCAGGTTAACGTGTTATGTACCTAAGCATAAGCCAGTGGCAGAATTTATCTTTCAGATTACACATATTGTAAAAGATACATAAATGAATAAACATTTATTTTGAATATTTTTATTAAGTCAAAAAAATGTATTGAGCAAGGTGAAAAAGATAAGGCTTAAGAAAGCATTCCTTGTTCATTTTCCTTTGTTTTGCATCTTATCTGTGACTTTCGGGGCTTTTCTGTTAACAACTGGACTATAACCTGAAGTATTATTTCTTAGTACTTGCAGCAGGGAGGAAGGGAAGAACGGGGTACAGTGGTTAGAAGGAAACCGGAAGCAATCTCCACAGGTTTATTCCCGGCTTAAAGATAATTTGAGAAATAAAATAAAAAATCCCTTTAAAAAAAAAGCATTTATATAACATTACTCCCATTCAGGGCAGCCTTAATTCCTTAGCAATTCATTGTCCAGTTATATCCTACAATATCCTGGTCAGGGTACTAAAGAAAACAAATTCTCCCATCAATTGCATGCTTATGACTTTGTCACCAAACTTGTTAAAATGTCATTGTGCATACATATATATATATGTGGTGGGGCAAAAGTAGGTTTACAGTTGTTCCTATGAAAAATAATACAATAATTAGTAAATAATACAAGAATAAACTCTGTTTCACATACTCATAACTGTAAACCTACTTTTGCCCTAACCTTTTATATATGTAAGAGGAGAGGACAAGTAGGATGGGGATTCCATTGAAAACACTAGGAGTGTTGTGCTCATAATAAACTGGGACTTTTTAACGCAGGGAAAATTGAAATGAATCCACCAAGACCTGAAATTAATAAGGATTCTCAGACAATTGTGGAGAGTTTCACCAGAATAGCATCTGGAGATGCATTTGTGGTTTCAAATGTTTCATCATCTGCTTTGCCTGACCTGTACCCACCAAGTCAAATCACAGACCTTGAAGCCACATTTGATGGAGATATGATCAATCTAACATGGACAGCACCAGGAGATGATTTTGATGTTGGAAAAGGTAAGAATGAGGTGTCATATGGTGTTGATCAAGAGAAAGATGCTCATGCAAAAGCAAGGGTGTGAGGGTGGGTGGGAGGTGAACAGTTTTTAATCCATAACTCAGTAAATTATTAATTTTATAATCTGATATTTTTAAATCAATCAAATAGAACACGTTTTATCTGGTCCCACTTTCAAACAAAAAATGTAGCGATGGCAAAGTCAAAAAATTAAAACACAGTTTATATTGAAAAATTAGTAAGACTTTGGATATGAGTATAAGCTTGGCATAACTAAACAATATTTTGAGGAGAATGAATAAAAAGGAATTTAACATGGTATGCTCTAGTTTCTGAACTACATGTACCCCCTTTTTTTTCCCTAGTTAAACAATATATCATAAGAACGAGTGGAAGTATCCTGGATCTAAGAGACAATTTTGATGATGCTTTACAAGTAAATACTGCTGATCTGGTACCAAATGAGGCTAACGCCAAGGAAATCTTTGCATTTAAACCAGGAAATATCTCAGAAGAAAATGCAACCCACATATTTGTTGCCATTCGAAGTGTAGATAAAAGCAATTTGACATCAAAAGTATCCAACATTGAACGAGTAGCTTTGTTTACTCCTGTTCCTGATGAAAGTCAACCAAATCCTAATTCTGGAATCAGCATTTCTTCTTTGGTGTTGATAGTGGTTGGATCTGTGGTACTTGTTAGTATTATTCTAAGTATCACCATTTGTACCATACAAAAGAAAAAAAATTCAAGTAAACCTACAACAGGGTTTTAAAACACATCAACAACAAAAGTGTAGGATATTTCTGAATTTGATTCATCCCCTGATTATGAACTCATAAAAATAATTTTAGGAATTCTAGAAGGGATACCTTAAGTATAAACACCCAAAAGTATTTGAAAAATTATGTCAGTACTAATTTTTAATAAGTTTATTGACTCATTATTTTGTTTATCAGAAAAAGTAATGAATAAAAACTTTTTTTACATGGATATCAGGTTGTTGATTATTTGAGACAATAGCTGTCTGGAAAAAACTACAAATTTCATGGAAAAGTTAAATTGCCGATGTGAACAGTCAAATACAAGTATAAGAAAGCAAACAAACAATATTAGAGTAAAAATGAGTTTGGTCTTGAAATTTTTTTTTAATTTTTAATATTTTTTAATTAATTTATTTTTGTTACACATGTTTCTCCTTTTTCCCCAATTGACTTCCTCTTCCTGATCCCCCCCAACCCCGGGCCCAGCATTGTTTTCTATGTCCATGGTTATGCATACATGCATATAACTTTTCTGGTTTATCTCTTCTCTTCCCCTCACCCCGTCTTCTGAGTGCATCAGTCTGTACCCTACTTCTATGTCTCTGGGTCTATTTTGTTCACCAGCTTGCTTTGTTCATTATATTCCACAAATAAGTGAAATCATGTGACATTTGTCTTTCTCTGATTGGCTTGTTTCGCGTAGGATAATACTCTCCAGGTACCTCCATGTCTTCTCAAAGGATAAGAGATCTTTCTTTCTTCCAGCTGCATAGTATTCCAGTGTGTATAAGTACCACTGCTTTTGTATCCATTCATCTATTGATGGACACTTGAGCTGTTTCCAGATCTTAGCTATTGTAAATAGTGCTGCTATAAACATGGGGGTACATATATTCTTTCTGATTGGTGTTTCAGGCTTCTTAGGGTATATTCCTAGAAGTGGGATCACTGGGTCAAATGGAAGTTCAATTTTTAATTTTTTGAGGTAACACCATACTGCTTTCCATAGTGACTGCACCAGTCTGCATTCCCACCAGCAGTGTACTAGAGTCCCCTTTTCTCCACACCCTCACCAACACTTGTTTGATGATTTGTTGATGGTGGCCATTCTGACAGGTGTGAGGTGATACTTCATTGTTGTTTTAATTTGTATCTCTCTGATGATTGGTGATGTTGAGCATTTCTTCATATGTCTCTTGGTCATTTGTATGTCCTGTTTGGAGAGGTGTTTCTTTAGGTCCTCTGCCCATTTATTAATTGGGTTCTTTGTCTTCCTCTTGCTGAGTTGTATGAGCACTCTATAGATTTTGGAAATTAACTGCTTATCTGATGTATCATTGGCAATGATGTTCTCCCATATAGTGGGTTTCCTTTCCATTTTGACAATTGTTTCTTTTGTTGTGCAGAAGCTTTTTAGTTTGATGTAGTCCCATGTGTTCATTTTTTTTCTTTGTTTCTCTTGCCTTAGGTGTTGTATCAGTGAAAATTCTGCTGCGTATGATGTCTGAAATTTTGTTGCCTACATTTTCTTCTAGAATTTTATGGATTCATGACTCACATCTAAGTCTTTTATCCATTTTGAGTTTATTCTTATGTATGGTGTAAGATGGTGGTCTAGTTTCATTTTTTTTGCATGTAGCTGTCCAATTTTCCCAACACCATTTATTGAAGAGGCTTTCTTGTCTCCACTGTATGCTCTTGCCAAATATTGATTGAGTGGATTGTCTTGGGTCAATTTCTGAGTTCTCTATTCTGTCCCATCGATCTATATGCCTGTTCTTGTGCCAGTACCAGGTTGTTTTGATTACAGTCACTTTGTAGTATAACCTGATATCTGGTATTGTGATTCCTCCTACTTTATTCTTCTTTTTCAAGACTGTTGTGGCTATTCAGGGTCTTTTTTAATTCTATGTAAACTTTTGGAGTATTTGTTCTAGTTCTGGGAAATATGTCATTGGTATTTTAATGGGGATTACTTTGAATCTATAGATTGCCTTGGGTAGTATGAATATTTTAATGATGTTAATTCTTCCAGTCCATGAACACAGTATATGCTTCCACTTTTTTATATCTGCCTCTATTTTGTTTCTCAATGACATGTAGTTATCTGTGAAGAGGTCCTTTACTTCTTTGGTTAAATTTATACCTAGGTATCTTAATTTTTTGCCGCAATGGTAAATGGGATTGTTTTTTTAGTTTCTCTTTCTGTGAGTTCATCATTAGTGCTTAAGAATGCCATTGATTTCTTGACATTAATTTTGTATCCTGCTACTTTGCCAAATTCATTTATTAAATCTAGTAGATTTTTTATGGAGTCTTTAGGGCTTTCTATGTACAATATCATGTCATCTGCAAATAGTAACAGTTTCACTTCCTCCTTTCCAATTTAGATCCCTTTTTTCTTTCTTCATGTCTAATTACTATGGCTAAGACTTCCAGTACTATGTTAAATAAGAGTGGCGAAAGTGGGCATCCCTGTCTTGTTCCTGTTCTTAAGGAAAATACTTTTAGTTTTGGCCCATTGAGTATGAAGTTGGCTGTAGGTTTTTCATATATGGCCTTTATTATGTTGAGATATGATCCCTCTATTCCCACATCACTGAGCATTTTTATCAGAAATGGGTGTTGAATTTTGTCGAATGTTTTTTCAGCATTTATTGATAAGATCATATGGTTTTATCTTTCATTTTGTTCATGTGGTATCAATAAATATGTTACATTTATTGATTTGCAAATATTTACCATCCTTGCATGCCTGGGATGAAACCCACTTGGTCATGATGAATAATTTTGATGTATTGCTGGATCCGATTTGCTAATATTTTATTAAGAATTTTGGCATCTGTGTTCATCAGGGATATTAGTCTGTAGTTTTCTTTCTTTGTTGTGTCTTTATCCAGTTTTGGAATTAGGATTATGCTGGCATCATAAAATGAGTTTGGAAGTCTTCCGTGTTCTTAGATTTTTTTGGGGAATAGTTTGCGGAGAATGGGTGTTAGTTCTTTGAATGTTCGGTAAAACTCCTCCATGAAGCCGTCTGGGTCTGGCCTTTTCTTTGCGGGGAGTTTCTTGATTACATCTTCAATTTCCTTAGTTGTTATTGGTCTGTTCAAGTTTTCTATTTCTTCCTGGTTCAGTTTTGGAAGACTGTGTGTCTGTAGAAATTTTTCCATTTCACCTAGATTGTCCAATTTGTTGGTGTATAATTGTTCATAGTGTGTTTTCATGAGCCTTTGTATTTCTGCAGTGTCAGTTGTTATTTCTCCTCTTTATTTTCTGATTTTGTTTATTTGGGTCCTCTCTTTTTGTTTCTTGCTGAGTCTGGCTAAAGCTCCATCAATCTTGTTTATCTTTTCAAAGAACCAGCTCTTTGTTTCATTCGTATTTTGAATTTTTTTTAGTTTCTATGTCATTATTTCTGCTCTGACCTTTACTATTTCTTTCCTTCTACTTGCTCTGGGTTTTTCTTTTTTTATTTTCTTTTTTCTTTTTTTTTTTAATCCTCACCCGAGGACATTTTTCCATTTTTTGTTCAGGTAGAATGGGAGGGAGAGAGAGGAACAGAGAGAGAGAGAAACATCAACGTGAAAGGAACACATCGAGTGGCTGCCACCCGCACGACCGACCAGGGCCGGGGACAAACTGCAACCGAGGTACGTGCCCTTAGCGGGAACCGAACCCGGGTCTCTCTGGACCGCAGGCCGACACTCTAACTGCTGAGCCAAACCGGCCAGGGCGGGTTTTTCTTTTTATTTACTTTCTAGTTCTTTAAGTTGTAAGGTTAGAAAGTCAATTAGGAATTATTCTCGTTGTTTGAGGTAGGCCTGTAATGCTGTGAACTTCCCTCTCAGGACTGCTTTCTCAGTGTCCCATAGATTTTGTGTTATTGTGTATTTTTCATTGGTTTCCAGGAAGTTTTTAATTTCTTCCTTGATCTCATTGGTAATCCATTCATTGTTTAATAACATGCTATTTAGCTTCCAAGTGTTTGAATGTTTTTGTTTTAATTGATTTCTAGTTTCCTGCCATTGTGATCTGAGAAGATACTTGATATGATTTCAATCTTCTTGAATTTATAGAGACTTACTTTGTGTCCTAACATATGGTCTATCTTTGAGAATGTCCCATGTGCACTTGAGAAGAATGTATATTCCACAGCTTTGGGGTGAAATATTCTGTAAATATCAATTAAGTCCGACTGATCTAGTTCATCATTTAAGGACTCTGTGTCTTTGTTGATTTTTTGTTTAAAAGATCTATCTAGTGGTGTCAGTGGGGTGTTAAAGCTACCCACTATGATTGTATTGCTTTTAATCTCTCCCTTTAAGTCCTCCAGATGTTTTTTAATGTATTTTTGTGCTCCCGTATTTGGTGTATATATGTTTACCAGGGTTATAGCCTCTTTTTGGATTGCTCCTTTTAATATTATGTAGTGACTTTTTTTTGTCTATTATAGCCCTCATTTTGAAGTCTATCTTATCAGATATGTGTATTGCTACACCAGCTTTCTTTTCATTTCCATTTGCTTGGAAAAAAAATTTCCATCCCTTCACTTTCATCCTGAGTCTTTTGTTCTGAAGCTGTTCTTTTGTAGACAGCATATATATGGGTCATGTTTCCTTATCCAATCAGCTACCCTATGTCGTTTGATTGGAGCATTTAAGCCATTTACATTTAAGGTTATTATTGATAGACACTTATTAGTTGCCATTTTTACTTAATGCCTGTGTTCCTCTCTCTCTGTTTCTTCTTCTTCTGATGACAATCCCTTCAGCATTTCTTGCAATTCTGGTTTGGTGATGGTAAATTTCTTTAGCTTTTTTTTGTCTGTGAAGCTCTTTATTTCTTCTTCAATTTTGAATGATAGCCTTATTGGATAGAGTATTCTTGGATTCAGACCCTTGACTTTCATTGTTTTGTATACTTCTCCCTTCTAGCCTGCAGTGTTTCTATTGAGAAATCAGCTGACAGTCTAGTGGGAGCTCCCTTGCAGGTAACTTTCTGTCTCTCTCTTGCTTCCTTTAAGAATCTTTCTTCGTCTTTAATGTTTGCCATTTTAATTATAATGTGTCTAGCTGTGGGTCTTTTGGGGTTCATCTTGCTTAGGACTCTCTGTGTT